TCTCACCCACATCTGCCTTTAACCAGTGCAGGGTCAGGAAACAAGCCTGGTTTCTTCATCACATGCTTGCTGTTCCATGTGGCTTCCTCAGGTCTCCTCCTTGTTCTCCATCCAGCTTCCTTCTCTTCTTCCCCTTCTCTTCTCTCCTTTTTCTCTGCTCAGCTCCACTCTCCTGGGTGGGGTAGGGAACCTGGAACTTCCCTTTTTCCTAGGGACCACCCTGTTACAGTAGGATTGTACAGATGTTAAAAATATATGTACAAAGTTATTTTTTTTTAAAGATTAGAGATCATTCATCTAACCATGGGCTATAGATAGCAAAAAAGTAGAAATTATCCAAATAATGACCTAAATAATAATTACCAATAATTATGAATGTACTGAGAAATGAAATTAAAATAAGGGTTTGGGGCCCTCCCTGCTGGCGCCACGGGTTTGGACACAGCACTGCAAGCTGGCCACAGCCACTTCAGTGAGAGTTCCATCCCTGGCCCCGGAGGTGGCCACATGGTGTGGCAGACCTCTCCTGACCCACCTGCTGCTCCCCTCAGCAGTGTACTTGTCAATCTGCCTGTTCTGCTCCCCACTTTGCCTCTGGCGAATCCTCTCACAGCCCCTGCACCTCTGGCTGTTGTACTCCAGTTCTGTATGTCTAAATAAGTAAATAAATCTTAAAAAGAGAGAGACCTCATCCCAAATCAAACTCATGGTGTAGTGGCTAAGGAGAGCCTCATAGTGCTGCACTTTAACCCCTTACACCTCCAGGGAGAGCCAGTACCTATTGTTAACAACACTATTGTACAAGCAAAATAAATCAAGGAACACAGGGGAAAAAAAAAAAGAGAGAGAGAGAAAATAAGGGTTTGAACTGAAGAGAATCTGAGGTCATTAAGAGAGTAGAATTTATATACACATCCACACCCAACCACTAGTAACACAAACTCTGAACTCTGAACTCACCTAAGCCTCAGAGTGGGCTGTCTGATACATATATACACTCACATGCAGGGCTCCTTCCTTTTGCATGTTTGTCTTTCCCCTTTTAGAGAATTTTGTTAGTCTGCCTGTAGGAACTCTGCCTATATCAACTGTCTTTTTACTCCAGAGTGGAGTGTTGTTTTGTTTTTTTTTTT